AATCACATAAATTTCTGATTTTATTTTGATTTTCTTCCACTGAAAACTCAACACAAAAAAATATAAGCAATACTTTTTTTTGAGAACAATCATATTAATTATACTAAATGTATAATAGAGTTAATAAAAATCATAACAAAAGTAGATTAAAAAATATTAGATTTCTAGTTTTCTAAACTAAAAATAAATTTAAATATTTGTTAAATATATATGCTTTTAGATATTAATTTATTTAGCTTAATTATATTGAATTTTTAAAACAAAAAATAAATATGAAATAAGCAAAGAATTAAAAAAATAAATGGTTTTGTAAATTAAATACTTTTGAATGTTAAATATAGCTAAATTATATGGATAATTAAAAATTATCAATTATTAGCTAATTAATATATCTATCGATAAGTTTTTTTCAAATATAATCGGATTTCTGCATTAATCTCTCTCTTTGTTGGTTTTAGCAACTTCCATTTTCATTTAAAACTTTTTAATTCTTCATTCATAAATTTAATTTCTTCTATTTTAATATAAAAATTATTTTGTTTTTTTACTTAAAAAAGCAATTTATTGAAATTAAAAAAATGACTATAAATACAAAATCTTTGATAAAATAACCTAATCTTATTATTTAGAGGTATTTTATTATTTATTATAAACTTTTTTATCATTCAAAAATGGTATAAAGAATAAAATTAACTCTTTTACCTAATGTCAAAAGATAAATTTTAAGGATTATGACTCTTTAAAGCAGAGCATAAATCTAATACATATATATACATATCATCAATCTTATTATTGCATTTAAAATAATTAAAACAAGTTTTTCAATGATATAAAAAATAAATAAGTAAGAAGGATTCTATTCAAAAAATAAACTATAAATATAATAAATTTTCATTAAATACTCAAGAATTATTAATATTTATCAAATAAGTAAGCTAACTAAATAAAAATTAATTTTTATAAGGTATTTGAAAAATATTTTAATATTCATACATAAATTAATGAATAAAAGCAATAATTATTACCTTACATAAAAATCACTTTATATTAATCAAAAGCAAATTTTCATTTAATTTTTTGGACACGTAATTAATCAATATTATTTTTCTTTAGAATTTAATAGAGTTTTTCAAACTCTATCAGAATATAATAGTTTTATTATGTTTACTCTCTTTGATGAAAAAATATTTTGAAATGCTACGAACATTTTGATCAACCTAGTATATATATATCAATAATCCATAATTCCTTAAATTTATTCAATATAAATTTCCTTAAACATTAAATCATATATTTTTATAATCTGAAAAAATATGGTACTTTCTCGGACTTCGGATGGACTGAGTTATCGAGAAAATACGGTAATTAAATACTTAAAGAATGTATTAAAGAAAAAATTCACAAAGATATTTTATCAGATGATTGAATTTGTATTTATAAACTTAATTAATTTTTAGCATTTATTTTTTTATGGATATTTTAACTTCAATAGCAATTATAATGTTAATCAGCAACTAATTTCAAATTTAAAAAGTTTATTATTATTCAGAATAATAATTTTAAATCTTTTTTAATTTAATATATTTTAATTTTATTCAATATTTATTAATAAATTTTAAAATATTTAAATCATTGTAACATACTTTTTTAATATTAAAATATAATTTAATTTATATTATCTTATATTCATAAGGTATTCTACAAGCAATTGATTGATTTATTTATTTATTTTTACTGAAGCCAAAGTTTCAAAATTGAGAGGCTGATAGAGAAAGATAAATGACATCGACTTGAAATGCTCTACTTTTAATTTAATTACTTTTATTTTATAATAAAAATATTGTCTTTATAATCAAATAAATAAAAGTATTATTTAATTAAGATTAATTTAAAATAATAGATAAAAAATAAATATAAAAATCAATAAAAAAGTGTATTTTCTCTCATTTTTGATTTATTGAATAGTTTTTATCATTCTTATTTCGTTTAAAATAAGAAATTCAGGAATTATTCTATTCTTATGGATAAAATTTAATTTAATTTAAAAATATTATTTGCTTATTATTTAAAAAATATTTTGTTTTATTATTTTAAATTATTTATTCAAGTTTATTCTTATATAGATCAATACCTTTTATTTTTTTTTAGCATACACAATTTTAATACAAAAGCATGTTAAATTATAAATATTTATTTACCATAAATTATTATTGAAAATTTATAAAAAATAAACTAAAATGAAACTTTTAAAAAATTAAATCTTAGAATTTTAAATTTTGTATTTATGCATAAAAATTAACACTGTAGAGGTTGTACAATATTTAACTTTTTTAGTAACCCCCTTAAAAGTCTAGAATTTGCAAATTTAATTTATTTTTTATTGAATAAACATTTTTAAAAGTAAAAAACCTAAAATTTTAATATACACTGTAAGATCTTCTCATAGTTAATATTATAATAATAGGTTTTTTCAAACAATAAATAATTCATTTTTACTTAGTAAAAAGCTAAAATTTTATGTTGATATTTTGCAAGTTGCTGTATTTTTATTAGAATTTATATTATCTAAATTTTAAAACTAGACTGGCTTTTTTAGTTAATTAACTCATTCACCAACAAAAATATAAGTTAGAATTTAGTAGGAGTAAAATTTAAAAAACATAAAAAGTATTTTTTATAAAATTATTAAAATATTTGTCATATTTAATATTTCAGATAAATTAAGATATTTTTTTTCTCTGTTTGAATAGTTTCATCATTTATAGCATACTGAGACATCGTTAATATATTCATTTCTTTAAAAATTTATTAAATTTAATTCAAAAATGATTAAAATTTAAGAATTTTACCTTAGAAAAAAATATAATTTTGTGATGTTTAGACTTATTTCTAAAGTCCTTATTAGATTACTAATTACTTCATCACTCATCCAATTTTCACTAAGAATTAAATAAATTAAAATTTAATGAATTATTTTAAGTACTTTTAAAAATTTAAATATTAATAAGAGTTATATCTTTTATATTTATTTAAAAAAATAAAATTAATAAAAAATACTCTAAATTAAGGTATAATTCTGTAATATTTTTGCAACTTATCACAATATCTTGAATATATTTAGTTCCTTCATCATATATTTCATTAAAGCTAAATAAAAAACATTTTTAATTTCATAATAATAAATGTATAGGTGATCTTTTTAAATTAAGTTAACAAAATAATATTTTGTTTTTAATAATTTCCCTAATAAATTTCAAAAAATTTACCTCAAATCAATATATAACTAAGTAATATTTTGGGATCTTTTTAGAGCTTCTGAAATACTTTTAACTCCATCATCTTATATTTTATTCTCACTAAATAAAAGATATATTTAATTTCATAATAGTAATGTATAAATGAACTTTTTAAATTAGTTAACAAAATAATATTTTGTTTTTTAATTATTTTTTCTATTAAATTTCAAAAAATTTACCTCAGATCAAGATTTAACATCGTAATCTTTTAACATTCTATAATAGCATTTGAGATTGCTATCGCTCCTTCATTTTAGATAAGATTGTTGCTTAATAATTATTTTTAATTTATATCAAATATTAATAGAATTTAATAAAACAACAAAAATATTTTAAATAGTAAAAAGTAAAAAAAATTAACTAAACATATTAATTTTTTATTTAATTACTGAAAATTAAGTTTTAGCTAAGTAATATTTTAACATTTCTCAAAAGCTTTTGAGAAATAATAAGCTCCTTCATCACCAATATATGAATTACTAAAAAATTATTTTTAAATTAAAATAGTAAATCTATAAAAAAAGCAACAGAAAAACTTCTTTCTGTTGTAGTTATGGTTAAAATCTGTAAAAAAAATTTTAATTTTAGAATAAAAATGGTTTTCAAATAAGTTAATTTAAGATATCAAATTATTAATTTTAAATATTTTTTTGTACCCTCTTTAGTTTAGAAAATGATGTGAGAGTTAGTTGGTATGATTATTTATGTATCTAATAAATTAAAAGTTAAATTAAATAAAAAAAGAAAAATACATAAAAGCAAGTTCCAGTCTAGTAATATTTTATAATTTTTCTAATTAACTAGAGATATTCTCAAAATCATAAGGTTCAAAATCTATGCATTTCATCAAACTTGAAAAAGGACTAAATAAATTAAAAAAAAATTAAAGTAAAAGTAACAATTTTAACAACAAAATAAAATATTAATTAGGAAAATATTTATCTAATTAGAAAAAAAAATTATCTAAAAGTTTTGAGTATATAATTACATGAATTTAAGAGATAATTGAGTAACATTTTAACATGTTTGCAACACTTTGTAAATACTTTTAGCAAAGTAAGAATTTAACCTTTCTCTATTTATAAGATAATTAAAATTATAATTATACAAATTATTTTTCAACAGAGTTGGTAGAAAATTTTGATATCAATAAAATGAATTGAAATTGAACATCAAATATCAAATATCAATCTGTTTCTATTTTTCTATTTATTTTTTTAATATCTAAACTTTCAATTCCCAACACTGCTTTTCAATGAGAAATAATAAATCAATCAATCAATCAAATAATTAATTAATTAATTTATTTATTTATTAATTTAAATAATAAAAATGAAAACTAAGAAAGGTACTCAAATTCAAGATTTAATTCACTAATATTATCACAACTTGCCAAAGAATCTGCAAAAATATTAGCAAGATCACTCTTTTAAAAGTCTTAACTAAAAGATGTATTGTTTAAGGTAATAAAAAATAAAAATAAACAAACTTGCATAGTTTTTTTTTAATTTAAATGCTTAAATCAAATAAAATTATAGTTTAAAATTACCCAAAACTTAAATTTAACTTGCTAATTCTTTGACACTTTCCCAAAGCATTTATAATATTGATTATACCTTGAGAAATTTGTTTGTATCCACTTTAAAAATATTTTATTTATATTTTAACTTAGAAAAATTATACAATAAATTCAAAAGTGTTACGAAAGGTCGAGATTTAAAAGTGTGAGATTTTAACATTTTGTCAAAGCATTAGCAATATTCTTAGCTCCCTCATCAGAAATTTAATTATTCCTAAAAATGAATATTTTAAACTAATTACCAAACTTTTACAATAAACTAACTAATTTAAGAAACTACCTTAAATTGAGAATTATTTCAGTAAGATTTTGGCAATTTTACAAGAAATTTGCTATTATTTAAATTTGGTCATCAAAAAAAGCACTATTTTTCAAATAAAAAAATAGATTAACAAAGTTTTTATAAAAAAAATTATTTACTTTTCAAAAAATCTTTCAAAGTTAAGATTTAGTTTCTATAGATTTTTACATTTCTTTAGAAAATTTGTTATATTCTAAGTTTACTCAAGACTGATTTCATTATTTCTAAACAAATTTATATTTAAATTTAGAAGTAGAAAAGTAATTAAGAAACAAATTATTTTTACAGGATAAAAAATAAATTAAATTTTACCCCAAATCAAGACTAAATTAAGTAATATAATCGGATTATTCATCACTATTTTCCATATTTAAAGATACATTCTCGTCAATTTTATTATTACTAAAAAAATAATTTAAAAAATTCACTTTTTATTGATTTTTAAAAATAAATTTCAATAAAAGATTTTAATAAAATTTAATTTATTTTTACTTAAAAAATTATAAAATAAAATTACTTAAAATTAAGACTAGCTTGAGTGATTTTTTAAAATTTAAATATAACTTTAAAAACACTGTTAAATCCTTCACCATCGATTATATTTTTTCTAAAAATGAAATAAAGTTGTAAGCAAAAATATAAATTTTGATTTTAAAAATTCTTATTATAATGATTTTAAAAATATTTTATTTAAAATACATCTAATAAATTTTATGAAATGAATTACTCAAAATCTATATTTAAAGCAGTGATTTCATTACATTTTTTCAAAGCCTTAGAAATATTCTTAGCTCCTTTACTTGAAATATTATTTTACCTAACAAAATTAATTTCAAATTTATGAATAAATTATAAAAGGTTTCAAAGTCATTCAAAAATTTATTTCAATTATCTAAAAAATAATTTCATTAAAAAAATCAATAAATTTTAATTAAAATTACTATAAAAAAAGTTTTAAATGAGTCACATTTACACAATATTTCAAACCACTAGCTATAATTTTAGCTCCTTCATCTTAAATATCATTCTAACTAATTAAATTAAAAATATAAGTATGGAAAAATCTACAAATATAAATAAATAAGAAATAGTGCTAATGAAAATAAATTTGAATGAAAATTACCCTAAATCGATACTTAACATTATTGAAATAATATGTTTTAATTATAAAATAATTCATTTTATAAGAAACTTACCTTAAATCAAGATGCAATTAAGAAAGCATTTTGAGCTTTTTCAATAAATTTGCAATATTTTTAGTGCTTGTTGCGCTAATTAAATTATTCCTTAAAAATTTAAATTAATACAGAATTTTTTACACTATCTATATATATTTTATTCAAATTTTTGAAAATAAAAACTAATTGAATAAAAATAAACAAAATTAGAATATACAATGAATTTTTTTTCGAAAGGAATTATGAAAAAATAAAAATTTTAGAAAATAACCTTAAGGAAAGTTTAAATTTGGTAATATTTTGACAATTTTATAAAGCATCTGTAATGTATTAAACTCCTTCATCTTATGTATGATTATCACTATTAATTAAATATTTAAATTAATATTTTATAATAAAATAAGAAAAGAAGTTAAAAATAAATTATTTATTTAAATGCTAAAATACTAAATAAAAATTAAGAAAATGACTTTAAATCAATATTTAATTTAATGGCCTTTCTAAAGTGTTTAATAGCGTTTGAAATATACTTAGCTCCTTAAATACCAATTTTATTTTATCTATGCAAAAATAATTAATTTAAATTGAATAAATTTATAATAATAAAATAGTTTTATTTTTTAAACAATCAATAAGATTTATAAGCTTAAATTAAAATAATACGATAAATTGAGACTTAATTCAGTTATTTCTTCAAATTTTTCCAATCTTTTTGCTATCATTTGAGTTACTTCATCGAATATACAGCTTTTACTAATAGATATATTTTTCAATATTTGTAAATAGTAAAAAAAATAATAATTTAATGATTTATACCTTAAACAAAGATTTAATTTAGTGGTATATTAGTAATTTTCTAAATAACTTCTAATCTTTTAAGCTCCCTCCTAAAAAATATTTTTTCCTCTTATTAGATTTTATAATTAATTAAAGAATCTCAAAAAATAAAGATAATTAAGGGATAAACTTTAAGAAAATTACAATTAGCATAGATCAATTTTTAATATGTTTACAAAAGATTTATCTATAGAACTCATTAAATTTTCAAAGTCATAATTATTTTTGAATGAACTAAAGTTAAAGAAATTGTTATTTTTATTTACTCTTATTTTTTTTTAATGAGAAATAATAAAAAATTAAAAAAATATTGAATAAAATTGATCAAATAAACTAAAATATTTTACTTTAATTTAATATTACTTTTGAACTTTTGCAACATATTTTTAAAAACTTAAGCTGTTTCTGAAGAGATTATATTGAAACTTTTTTATATTTTAAATAATTTAAATTAAATATACAGAAATTAAACCAATAAAATTTATTAAAATAATGACAAATTTATTATGTAATAATTACTTTATATCAAGAAAAAATGATTGCAATTTATCACTCTGTTCTTAGCTCTATAATTCACTAAAAAAATATTTAATAAAAAATTGAATTAACTAGCTAATTAATTTACCCAAATGTAAAACTATTGGCATAAAATTAGTTATTGATGAGGGAATCTTCTTTAGTAATACACCTTACATTTTTTATAAAATAAATTAAATAAGTATTAAAGGTTTATCATTTTTTAGAGAGGATCACAAATAGCATTTCGAGAATGAAAATATAAGGGAGTACCTTAATATTTCGAATT